TTGTTTCGGGCTTTTGATGCTTCTTCTGATAACTGGCCAATCGGAAGTAACGCGTTTTCTATACCTGCTGCTCCGTGAACAAGTATTTTGTGTAATGTAGGAGTCATCGGAAGCCATGGGTAAAGTTTAACATAGAGCTCGGCAGTTTCCTTCGCGTATGCAGCAAATTAATCTGAAGAGACTTTAAATCCACTCGAGATGATTTCCAGGATCATCAATTCCTGTAATTTCTGCTGCTAGCTCATGGCCCGAAAAAAATCTCCTATTTATGTTGCCATCATACACTGTTACCGAATCCCGGTTTAGGTACATCACGATCAAGCCCATCTTTTCTCGAAAATTCTTTTGTATTTCTGTTTTTCTTTTCTTTACTACAGCTTTCTTAGTCTCTAACTTTATTTGTCATTTTTTACAGGTAACTTGTAAGAAAGATGTAAAATCGATTCAAATAGTCTTATTCGGGCATGTAACACAGAAAGACCAAAACCAAGTGCCTCCGTTTTATTTTCTGTTTTTATGTTTAAATCATTAAAATTTTTTGAGGTTAAACTACAGATGTTAGATCTCATGGTAGAAGTAGTGCCTGTAATAGCATTGCAGACTTTTCCATCTACCATGGTTAGCATCATTGTGTGTTTAACTGAATAACTTTTGTTAGAGAGTGTAACTGTAGAATTTTGTAATAAATCTATTGCATTTTTAATATATTTGATCTCTTCTTTAGTTAAGTCGGTGGTTTCTTTACTAAATCTTATCTTTATAGGGCGACAATAACGGGGTGAGGATGGTTTTGGATTCTGCCAGATCACTTTATTGTTCGGAGAGCAACTAAGTTGAAGGGGTACAAACGAAGTCTGGAATAAGTGCGCATCAGTGTCCGATTCGTTTACAAACTTTTGTTTGTATTGTGATTGTTGTGCCCAATCACATCCCCACTTACTCAGTAAAACCAACGAATCCCTTTCGGATTTCTGCAAAGACTGTACTTCTTCTAAAGCGCGTGGCAATATGATTCATTAAATTTTGAATTTTTATTTCGGCACAATTTTCGGTAACCTTGTTTCCTGTTTTTACTGTAACTTCTTATTACCTCATACTGACTTCTGGAAAGTCCTGCTTCAACAAAAAGTGATAAGGCTTGAGAAGTAGTTAATTGTGAGGTTATCACATTTTCTTTTTCAATAACAGATTTTTTGTATTTTCTAGCTCGCTTTGGTGAACTGGTGATATTTTTAAACATCAGTGAAGCATCTCTTCTTCCACTGACTCTTAACTTCCACTGAGCGGCAGAAGTAAGGACATTTAAGTCGGTAGATTGACGTAACTTTTCAGTTTTTCTTCTTTTGCTTCTTTTGAGGAGTCTCTCAAAAGATGATTTTCCAAAAAAATCAATTTATCGTTGATATTATTTAAATCCTGACGCTGCATAAGAGTAAATAATTCTTTCCTAGTCATAATTTTGACATTAGAAGTTCCTAAAGAAATCAATCAATAAAGACTTATAGAACTTAATTTCTATCTCGTATACAGGTGACTGGTACATAAACGTGAATATTGAAATACGTTGTTCTAGAGCTCACTTGTAATTGATTAAGCTAAATATGCCTTATAGAAAAGTGAATAATTTAGAAAATATTTCAATTTTTTGCTTTTTGTACAAGTTCAGTACATACTCTTACAAATCTTGAAATTTAGAGAGTAATAATAGTTTCTTTGGCAATGTATCGACTTCTCTGGATAGATTACATCCTAATACACATTTAAAGTCAAGAAATACTGTAAATATTTCGATGGTTTAAAAATACAGGAAGTGAAATATTCGGTTTTTAAGTTAATTTTCAAACAAAGTGTTTATTCATGAGCGTCTATTTCAAAATTTCGATGATACATTCAGCATACAAATTATTGTAAAAACTTCTCTGTTTTGTTACCTTTCGAATGAGGTATGAAGCATGGCAAAATGTCTTTCCAATTAGCCAATAATAAGATAACAATTGGTGCGAGCACAATTTTGACAACCTACCCAATGTGAATAAAATTCAAAATCGATTACACCTGCGGTTGAAATTCAATTCATTAATGGTTAACAACCATCGGTTAAACAATTTTTTTACGTTTTGGCAGTAAGCCATGGAATTTAGACATCGAGAATATCAGCAACGCTATCCAAATCGACGAATTACTCATATTAGTGTATTTGGCGCCACTTATCGGCGTCTAGCTGAGACTGGCAATTTAAGAAAAGCCGAACGTGTAGGACGTGCTGGACTTAATGTGGAAGAAGACATTTTGGAATCATTCGATGAAGCACCCACATCCAGTACAAGAAACGTCGCTGCTAATTTGGGGATATCACAATGTTAAGTCTGGTCAACTCTTCGACAAATGGGCAACCATCCTTATCATTACACACCTATCCAGGCACTTGAAGACGGCGATCCTGAACGAAGGATTCAATTTTGCCGGTTTCTTTTAAATGCTGACATTCAGGATGAATATTTCTTGAGAAGGATTTTATGGACTGACGAATCGAAGTTTAACAGAGAAGGTATAACAAATCTTCATAATTTACATTATTGGACTGACGAAAATCCTCATCTAACGAAGGAAACAAGCAACCAAAGAAAATTTAATGTGAATGTGTGGATGGGACTCATTGGAAATAATTTGATTGGTCCTCATTTTTTTCCCGATCATTTAAATGGCGCAACGTATGGTGATTTTTTACATAATAATTTAATAGAAATGCTGGACCGTGTACGTTTAGAAAACAGGAATAACATTGTTTTCCAACATGATGCCCTGCGCATTATTCGCAAAATGTGCGAAATTCATTAAATGAATTATTTCCAAGGGCTCAAGCATGTATTACGAATAGAGGAGCAGTTTTTGAAGCAGACTTGCAATTAGACCCCCCCTTTTCGGTAAGGTTTTTTCCAGTTGGTTCCTTATTGCAACAGGGGGTTTCGTTGTTGCGCGCTGAGTTTTTTTGCGTTAGAGTTAGAAGTTATGTCACATGATTGTGTTAATTTTTTTTTAATGTTAGTTGCTTAATTTTTTATGGTTGTCTGAATTAACGTTATGTTTTAGTTCCAATAAGCAACAATAAATAGTAGGTGTAATCGATTTTGACTTTTATTAACTTTGGGTAGGTTGTCAAAATTGTATTCGCGCCACTTGTTATCTTATTATTGGGTAATTAGAAAGACATTTTGCCATGCTTAATACCTTATTCGAAATGTAAGAAAACAGAGAAGTTTTTACAATAATTGGTACGCTAAATGTATTATCAAAATTTTCAAATAAACGCTCGTAAATGAACACATTATTTAAAAATTAACTTAAAAATCGAATATTTCACACCCTATATTTTTAAAGCATCGAAATATTTAAAATGTTTTTCAACTTAAAATGTGTATTAGAGTGTAATCTATCCAGAGAAGTCAATACATTGCCAAAGAAACTATTATTACTCTCTAAATTTCAAGATTTGTAAGAGTATGTACTGAACTTGGACAAAAAATAAAAAATCGAAATAACTCCTAAACTATTCAGCTTTGTATAAGGCATATTTGGCTTAATCAATTACAAATGAGCTCTAGAACAACGTATTTCAATATTCACGTTTATGTACCAGTCACCCTGTACATATATAGATAATACTGATAGACTAATAATGGTGTTGCAGTGTGTAAGAAAAAAATTATTAATAATTATAATTAATAATATTTCAGAATTGAAATATTACTCTTAAAAATTTAAAATAAAAACTTGATCATTTGAAAAATCGGAATATTTCACAGACAGAAATATAGGTATCGTAATGTATAAGGCCTGAGCAATCTAATGAATATACAGCGTGTCCCGTATCTTCCGCATCAGAGCATTATACGGTTGTAGGATACATTATTTTGAAGCGATCTTTCTAATAAAATTTTTTCGAAATGTTTATAATAACCGCACGGGAACTGTTTAAAGGAACTGTTTTTCGTCCAATCAGCAGATCGCAAATCAGACTCAGGTAATCGGTGCCACCCTCGGCCGGTCCGCTCACCAATAGATTCGTTATGGAAAGAGAAATAAACTTTTTCGATGAATCAAAGTTGTCCGTTATTGGTCGTCGTTAAACAGTTCCCGTGCGGTTATTATAAACATTTCGAAAAGATTTTATTAAAAAGATCGCTTCAGAATAATGTATTCTACAACCGTATAATGCTCTGATGCGGAAGATACGGGACACGCTGTATAGCCAAAGCCGGGAAACGTCGAGAAATGTAACTAATCAATTTAAACATTAAAAAAGAAAAATTACAAGAAAAGACGCAACAAAACACCTTAGAAAGGAAAGAAGCTTACCTAGTTTATCACAATCCATAATAAAATAATCCATGAAAATTATATCTAATGGATTATGCTTATGCAAAAGGTTGAAATAATTATTCGAGTTATTTAACCAATTTTGAGATAATAATACGGGCGATAGGGATGTACAGGAACGAAAAGAATCGTTGTATGATACGTGTATGATATTAAACTTATTATGTCAGATGTTACTTTTTTCGACGTTCAACGTTTTAAAATCGAATTTTGGCCGCTTACATTGCCGAAATTCCCCTATGTGTGGCGTTTTGTTATATGTCACATATGTATACATTTACAGCAGTCACCTTTAATACTTAATTTATTTTATTTTTATGAATATTTTTTTTTTTAATTCCACTAAATCGAAATAACATAATATTTTAAATTAATCTAATAATTTTTTTGATAAAAAAAAGATTAGTTATTAAGCGCCATCTATTGGCTAAAATTATCACCTACACCATTATTAATTAATTATAATTAATTAGCACAATTTTTAATAATTTTTTTCAATCTATCTTATTAAACCTCCTTGAATTTGTTATTAACAAATCAAATTAACAATAATTATAATCAAAAAACATCAAATTTTAGCACGCCATCTAACAACAGAAATCGTAATCAATTTTAATCATTAACTGTCAGAAAATTAGTGACGTTTTGACATACATCTGTGTTTTAGTCGGTGTTTTAGTGGGCGGTTTCGGGTTTTAACACAAAAAAATCGTAAGTAAATCACCCAAACACACCCTTTATTATTTAAATCAAACCCAAACCTAATTACATTCATTTTATTAAAAGCGCTTAAAATGACTGACTCGAAATATTTTACAACCACCAAAAAAGGTGAGATTTTTGAGCTCAAATCCGAATTAAACAATGATAAAAAGGAGAAAAAGAAAGAAGCCGTTAAAAAGGTACACTCATCAATAACTTAATTATAAACAAAATTTTTTAACCTCAAAATGTCAAATTTTTTAGGTTATAGCTAGTATGACAGTTGGAAAAGATGTCTCAGCTTTATTCCCAGATGTTGTAAATTGCATGCAAACTGATAATTTAGAACTAAAAAAGCTCGTTTATCTTTATTTAATGAACTATGCGAAATCACAACCGGATATGGCGATAATGGCGGTAAATACATTCGTAAAAGATTGCGAAGATCCGAATCCTTTAATCCGCGCTTTAGCCGTACGCACAATGGGGTGTATTCGCGTTGATAAAATCACCGAATATTTGTGTGAACCACTCCGAAAATGTCTTAAAGATGAAGATCCTTACGTTCGTAAAACCGCAGCTGTGTGTGTAGCGAAATTATATGACATTTCATCAGGATTAGTTGAAGATCAAGGCTTTTTGGATCAATTAAAAGATTTATTAAGCGATTCAAACCCAATGGTGGTCGCAAATGCCGTTGCTGCGTTAAGCGAGATCAACGAAAGCTCCCCAACAGGGGCCCCATTAGTGGAATTAAACACAAATACAATTAACAAGTTATTAACAGCTTTAAACGAATGTACAGAATGGGGACAAGTTTTTATTTTGGATTCTTTATCGAATTATAGCCCAAAAGACGATCGAGAGGCTCAAAGTATTTGCGAAAGAATCACCCCTCGATTAGCTCACGCGAATGCAGCTGTGGTTTTATCAGCAGTTAAAGTTTTAATGAAAATGATGGAGATTTTAGCTAATGATACCGAATTTTGTGGGAATTTAACCAAGAAATTAGCCCCACCTTTGGTTACTTTGTTATCGTCAGAACCGGAAGTGCAATATGTCGCGTTACGCAACATTAATTTAATAGTTCAAAAGCGACCGGATATTCTCAAACACGAAATGAAAGTGTTTTTCGTGAAATACAACGATCCCATTTATGTAAAACTCGAAAAATTGGATATTATGATACGATTGGCGTCCCAAGCGAATATAGCGCAAGTTTTGAGCGAGTTAAAGGAGTATGCAACGGAGGTGTGTATGGAATTTTAATTTTACCTTATTCAATCCTTTTCCCCCATTAAATCACTCTCGTCTGATTTACTCTTATTAAACTAATCAAACAAATAATATACAGGGTGATTTATAACAAACAGAGGAGACTAAAGGTGTAGGTAGTAGAGGTCAAACTGAAGAGATTTTTTTAATAATGTTTTGTTAATACTTTCGCGGACACTATAATTTTGATAATTCCACCCAAAACGCACCATTTTGTTAATGAAATTTAAACTAAACTTTTAGTATTAGTGTTAGTCTACTGGAAGCAATATTTAATCTTTTGAAGCAGTATCCAGTGTATTGGTAGTCAAGTTTGTCTTTTGAAAGCAATATTTAGTATTCTAGAACCAATATTTAGTCTTCTGGAGCAGTATCCAGCCTTTTGGTCTCCATATTTTTCTTCTGAAAGCAATATTTATTCTTCTAGACGCCGTATTTAGGTTTCTAGAAGCAATATTTACTCTCCTGGAAGCAGTATTTAGTCTTTTGGGGCAGTAACTAGTCTTTTGGTGTCAGTGTTAGTCTACTGGAAGCAATATTTAATCGTCTGGACGCCGTATTTAGTCTCTTAGAACAGTGTTAGTCGTTTGAAAGCAATATTTAGACTTCTAGAAGCAGTCTTCTGGAGTGGTATCCAGTCTTGTATGGCCAAATTTGTCTTTTGAAAGCAATATTTAGTCTTCTGAAAGCAGTATTTAGTCTTGTGGAGCAGTTTCTAAACTTTTGGTATTACTGTCAGTCTACTGGAAGCAGTATTTAGTCTTTTGAAGCAGTATCCAGTCGTTTGGTAGCCAAGTTTGTCTTCTGAATAGAATATTTAGTCTTCTGGAAGCAATATTGAGTCTTTTGAAGCAATATGCAGTCTTTTGGTAGCCAAGTTTGTCTTTTGAAAGCAATATTTACTATTCTAGATGCAATATTTATTCTTCTAGACGCCGTATTTAGGTTCCTAGACCAGTTGTTAATCTTTTGAAAGCAATATTTAGATTTCTAGAGGCAATATTTAGTCTTCTAGGGCAGTATCCAGTATTTTGAACTCCATGTTTTTCTTCTGAAAGCAATATTTAGACTTCTGGAAGCAGTATTTAGTCATCTGGAGTGGTATGCAGTCTTTTGGTAGCCATGTGTGTCTTCTGAAAGCAGTATTTATTCTTTTGGAGCAGTATCTAAACTTTTGGTATCAGTGTTAGTCTACTGGAAGCAATATTTAGTCTTTTGAAGTAGTATCCAGTCGTTTGGTAGCCAAGTTTGTCTTCTGAAAGGAATATTTAGTCTTCTGGAAGCAATATTTAGTCTTTTGAAGCAGTATGTAGTCTTTTGGTGACCAAGTTTGTCTCCTGAAAGCAATATTTAGTATACTGGAAGCAGTATTTAGTCTCTTGGAGTAGTAACTAGTCTTTTGGTATCAGTGTTTGTCTACTGGAAGCAATATTTAATCTTCTGGACGCCGTATTTAATCTCTTAGAACTGTGTTAGTCGTTTGAGAGCAATATTTAGACTTTTAGAAGCAGTCTTCTGGAGTGATATCTAGTCTTGTGGTGGCCAAATTTGTCTTCTGAAAGCAATATTTAGTCTTCTGGAAGCAATATTTAGTCTTTTGAAGCAGTATGCTGTCTTTTGGTAGCCAAGTTTGTCTTCTGAAAGCACTATTTAGTATTCTGGAAGCAATATTTATTCTTCTAGACGCCGTATTTACGTTGCTAAACCAGTGTTAGTCTTTTCAAAGCAATATTTTGTATTCTGGGGCAGTATCCAGTCTTTTGGTCTTCATGTTTTTCTTTTGAAAGCAATATTTAGTCTTCTGGGCGCCGTATTTAGTCTCGTAGAACAGTGTTAGTCTTTTGAAAGCAATATTTAGACTTCTAGAAGCAGTATTTCGTCTTCTGGAGTGGTATGCAGTCTTTTGGTAGCCATGTGTGTCTTCTGAAAGCAGTATTTAATCTTTCAGAGCAGTATCTAAACTTTTGGTATCAGTGTTAGTCTACTGGAAGCAATATTTAGTCTTTTGAAGCAGTATGCTGTCTTTTGGTAGCCAAGTTTGTCGTCTGAAAGCACTATTTAGTATTCTGGAAGCAATATTTATTCTTCTAGACGCCGTATTTAGGTTCCTAAACCAATGAAAGGAATATTTAGTGTTCTGGAAGCAGTATAAAATATTGTAGAACCAATATTTAGTATTCTGGGGCAGTATCCAGTCTTTTGGTTTCCATGGTTTTCATCTGAACGCAATATTTTGTCTTCTGGAAGCAGTATTCAGTCTTTTGGAGCAGTATCTAGTGTTTTGGTATCAGTGTTAGTCTACTGGAATTAATATTTAATCCTCTCGACGCCGTATTTAGTCTCTTAGAAGAGTGCTAGTCTTTTTAAAGCAATCTTTAGACTTCTAGAAGCAGTATTTAGCCTTCTTGAGTGGTATCCAGTCTTTTGGTAGCCATGTTTGTTTTCTGAAACCAGTATTTAATCTTTCGGAGCAGTGTCTAAACTTTGGGTATTAGTGATAGTCTACTGGAAGCAATATTTAGTCTTTTGAAGCAGTATCCAGTCGTTTAGTAACCGAGTTTGTCATCTGAAAGGAATATTTAGTCTTCTGGAAGCAATATTTAGTCTTTTCAAGCAGAATGCAGTCTTTTGGTAGCCAAGTTTGTCTTTTGAAAGCAATATTTATTCTTCTAGACGCCGTATTTAGGTTCCTAGACCAGTAGTCTACCGGAAGTCTTTTGAAAGCAATATTTAGGTTTCTAGAAGCAATATTTAGTCTTCTGGAGCAGTATCCAGTCTTTTGGTCTCCATGTTTGTCATCTGAAAACAATATTTAGTCTTCTGGAAGCAGTATTTAGACTTTTGGAGCAGTATCTAATCTTTTGGTATCAGTATTAGTCTACTGGAAGAGATATTTAATCTTCTGGACGCCGTATTCAGTGTTCTGTAATAAACTGTATGCAGTGTTCCATCTTCTTGTTCTTAACGTAACATGCTAGAGATTGTATGTAATTCTATTCTTGAACAGTCGGTATGATATAATTTTAATAACGGTTCTTCAGTTAAAGATTTCTTCAAATCATAAAACGCATCTTTTTGACTCGTCGTAAGGCCAAAAATCATGCGTTCAAATTGACCTGTAGCTACGCTCTTCAGCATAGTTAACATAGTGTATATGTTAATTAATTGTCGTACTCAACGTCATCATTGAAAGTATGCAACCAAATACGCAAATTGCGAATTGCAATTCCAATACTGTGATATTGGTTGCATACTCGGGTACGATAATTAATTAACACTGTCCAGATGTTGCCCAGCTCCCTTTTTGCTTGTCTCAACCCATTTTCGTGGCGTCTCGCTACCCACACAAAACCAAACTCATTTAATCTTTACAGGTGGATGTAGATTTCGTTCGAAAAGCTGTGAGGGCGATTGGGAGATGTGCGATTAAAGTTGAACCTTCCGCGGAGAGATGCGTTTCAACTCTTCTCGATTTGATCCAGACGAAAGTGAATTATGTGGTGCAGGAAGCCATCGTTGTAATTAAAGACATCTTTAGGAAATACCCCAATAAATATGAAAGCATTATCAGCACTTTATGCGAAAATTTGGATACTTTAGATGAACCGGAAGCTCGCGCGAGCATGATTTGGATTATCGGCGAATACGCGGAGCGAATCGATAACGCCGACGAACTCCTCGATAGTTTCCTCGAAGGTTTCGGGGATGAAAACGCCCAAGTTCAACTTCAACTTCTCACGGCGGTCGTAAAATTATTTTTGAAACGCCCCGCTCACACCCAAGCTTTAGTTCAACACGTTTTAAGTTTAGCAACTCAAGATTCCGATAACCCCGATTTAAGAGATCGCGGGTTTATTTATTGGAGGCTTTTAAGCACCGATCCGGCTGCTGCTAAAGAAGTCGTTTTGGCCGATAAACCTTTGATTTCGGAGGAGACCGATTTGTTGGAGCCCACTCTTTTGGATGAATTGATTTGTCACATTTCTTCATTGGCCAGCGTTTATCATAAACCGCCCACGGCGTTTGTTGAGGGGCGAAGCGCTGGGATACGGAAATCTTTACCGGCGCGGCAAGGATCGGTTGATGAAGCTGCATCTTCTAGTGGTGCTCAACCTGAAAGTACGGTTATTCCTAATCAGGATTCTTTAATTGGGGATTTATTATCGATGGATATCGGGGGAAGCGTTCCGGTTGTTGCTGCGGCCCCTCAACCAACGAGTAATGTTGATTTATTGGTGAGTTGAAGAATTTTGGGGGGATTAATATAAAAAAATTTTTTTTAATTAGCTTGGAGGCCCGAGTGATATCCCACCGAGCACTACAGGTCTTTTAGGGGATATTTTCGGGTTAACTGCAGCTCCTAGTATGTTTTGTCCGGCGAAATCTTGTTGGTTACCCGCTGATAAAGGGAAAGGATTGGAGATTTGGGGGACTTTTTCAAGAAGAAATGGACAAATTACCATGGATTTAACATTTACAAATAAAGCTATGCAGGTAATTATTAATATATTGTTAGGTTATACCTTTGTTTATAGATTCTTAAACTTACGCCACGCCCTCTAACTATGTACACGTAACGGTGTACAAGTATATACAACTAAATAAGTGCACAATTTGATAAGTAATTAGTATTATCAGTTGCATACTTTGATAATAATAACTTTATTTATTAAAATATAAACGAAGGTAACATTTTGTTGCACAATAACAAAACACGTAGAAATAATAAAACAAGGAACATTATTGCAATCTACTAAAATGTTACTGGTCTAATTTTCTATATTCGTCTAGAGTTGTTTGATGAATAGATTTTTAAAGTATTTTTGTAAATAAAGTCTTCGCATAAATTTAGCGATCGAAAGACAGCTCTATCTTACAGGAAATACCGCCGCAATTTACTGCCACAATATTTTGCGTCTTTATGAGTGACTGGATTCTACAACTGACTTATATGCTAATTCTCTAATAATCTTGTCTTACGTCGTGATTGAAACACTCCAACGTATCGTCAATATTAATAAGCTCTTATAGCACGAGACAGAACAAAGAGGGAAGAGACGTTAGATTACACAGGCCGACAAATTTTTAAACCAGAGACCAGACTATACCTTCCAAATAATTTTCGATACCCTGAATCCGAATCTGACGTCAGAATTGCTTCATCACCTAAGATTTTCAAGATATCTTACCTAAAATATGCGAAAAACACGATTTTTCAACACATTCAAGGCTGAATTTACATCAAAAGATAATTTTTCTCCACAGAAGTCATTATGCCATTTAAAACTATTTCTCTGACCCCTTAAAATCTTATGTTATTCATTTAAATATTTTTCTTGATCTCTGAGAAATTGTCTTCTAAAACTAAGAAATTCATCATATTTGAAATAACATCTGTTTATTTTCCAGTTTTATTTACAAGTTTTAAAATGTTTTATTAACACTTCAAAGCAATACAAAATATTAATAAATAACAAATAACAACAAACGTATTGTCTAAAACGAAATTAATGATAAAGAACCTGAAGTGGCCTGCCCTTACCCTATCAATGTCGTTTACAGAGATTGTTAAAAAAAGGTTTCTTAATGTAGTTGGAAAAACGCATTAAAACGCAGTGAATTCAAAACATTGTAAATACTTACATACAAAAAAGTACAAATGACTGATCTGATCATACAATTTCGATAACATTCCATAAATGGTATTTTTTTCTCATTTTACAGACGTATACAAAAGTGTATGTGTTCAGGTAAAGTGACACTTCCGGTCAAGCGTCGTCGTCGTATTCAATGTAGAGGTCGAATTTCAATACTTTGTCTTATATATACCTATACATATTTCGTATACAGGGTGATTCACATAAGAACCGACACAGAGCAGGGACATGTAGAGGACAATAAATTAAGATGATTTAACGCAACTTATCTCTATACCAAGTTGTACCTCTGAGGAGTTATAGGCTTTCAAAGTTGGGTCTTAAATTTTTGAAAAACATTGAATATCTTCGTAATACATAAAGCTAGTAAAACCAAATTTGGTATACGTTATGAGTGTACCGAGGGTATTAATTGGTAGCAAGTTAAGACCAATTGAGGCATTTCAAAGGGTTGATTAAGGGTGATGGTTCCCTAAATTTTGGCAAATTTTTTAACCTTTTTGTGGATTTAATACATTATTACCTCATTTCATGTGGAATTTAATTCTAAAACTTTTTCTCCTCTTACTATTTTTTTAAAAACATTGTCGTTTTCATAAAAAACTAAAAAAACTAAAGACGCGTATCTTGTTAATGCTACTTAAAATCATCGAAAATTCAGTAGGCCGCTGTGAAATTGTACATAATTTGAGGAATAAACTGTTTATTATGAGCTAAAAAGACATCATCCATAAACAAATTTAGTTTAGGCATAATAATTTTCTAGTGATAAAGAGAAAATCGCCAAAATGTCAAAATTAAGTACTTTTGGTTTTAAAATCGATCATAACTCAAGAATGAAAGGTGATGACGAAAAGTTTTTTAGGAATAAATTGTTTATTATGAACTAAAAAGATATTATTGATAAACAGATTTTGTTTAGATGTAATGATTTTCTAGTGATAAAGAGAAAATCCCCATAATGTCAAAATTGAGTACTTTTGTTATCAAAATCGATCATTACTCAAAAATTAATTGTGAAGAAGATAAGTTTCTTTGATATAAATTGTTTATTATGAGCTAAAAAGACATCATCCATAAACAGATTTGGTTTAGTTATAATGATTTTCTAGTGATAAAGAAAAAATCACCAAAATGTCAAAATTGAGTACTTTTGGTATTAAAATAGATCATAACTCAAAAATTAAAGGTGATGGAGAAAAGTTTATTTGAAATAAATTNCAATATATTCGCCGCCACTATTCCTGCACTTCTTTGCTTTGTTCCGTGCCCAAGAAGATTCATTTCTGATCCTTTTTCTGCTTCTGTTCATCTGCTGGTTGCCGACGTCTGCTTCAGCTTCAGATGTAGAAGTCCGTACATCTTCTGGGACATAATCACGATCTAGATCACTATCGTCAAGAGATTCTGCACATAAAACAAACAGTAAATAATTTTTATAAATTGAAGATTAATATTGGGACTGTAAAAAATAATATAGAAAACCATATCAAAATTTCATAACCTCAATATAATCAAACTCTTAAAAAATGCATTAATTTTCTGTGTATTCACCATCGTCATCAAAATGTTCCATATTCATTTGGCTATTTACGTCCATTAAACTAATCACTAATATTGACTAATTAATACACTGAAAATCATCAATAATACGCATTTATACGGGAGTAAACACACAGTTTAACTGTCTAAATTATTATGAACGGTGACGTTTGGAGGCAGAGGGATATAAGTGCTCATATATCCCATTGCTTCCAAACAATTGAGAGACTTCATTCAGTATTTTTTCTATCAATGCATAGATGCCGCCTTTGGTAGCGAATTTGATTTTAAATTCCTTTGCCACCAAATAAATAATTACTTCAGGAATGAGTCTATGCACATAACTCATTTATCTAAAAAAGGTCACTTACACCCGTTTGCTTCTTACCGCCTCATATAACATAGTTAATATACGAAACGATCTACGGTTCTGACACCTTAATATCTGCAAATAATTACGATATGGGGTTATATGTTGAGATCTCTCGAGATCAAAGATATACCGTATGCAGTTGTTTTGAAGTCTTTGCAGTTTGTTTCGTAGTGTTACCGAAAGATCAGGATATGCCGTGTCAGCATAATCAATATAGGGGAAAAACAAAGATTACGACGGATCATGGGAGGAAGGAAGCAACGGAGACTTTTCAGTGAGTGGAAACAGTAATAGACCTTTCTGCAGACGGATTGAATTTGACGTTTCCATTACATTGTAGAATCCACAACCACCCCAAGGTTTCTAACCGTGTCTGACAGCTGAATAATGTCTCCGTCAAGCATTAAGTGAATGGATGAAAAATCATTCAGCTTTGCCAGTAAAGGTCGACTGCCAAACGCAATTGCTTGAGTTTTAGCAGTATTTAATTTAAGGCCATAACGTTTGGATCAATCCAAAATATTGGAAAGGTCATGATTAAGACGTGCAATTGCTTCCGGAAAATCATCAATAGTTGTCGTAGTGTANGCGAATAAGATCATCTAATGAATTTTGATCAAAAAGTTTAGGGTCTTTGGCACTAACAGAATCCTCATAATCACTGTCCTTTTCACGTTCAACAGAACTCATTTCTTCCAAACGACATTCATTTTTATTAGGTGGTACTTTGTCTAATCTCGCTATCTTTCCTTTCTTGGCTGGTGTTACGGTTTGTACGTTAGAATATAATATGTTTCCTTTATTTTTTCTATTATAACCTGTTATATCACAGGCACAGAAGTAACAGTCTTCATTGTGATCCTTAGGCTCATACCACATGGTTGGTGTAATGACAACTTCCTTTTTCATATCGTTCCAATTAATCAGAGTTAATCTACAAGTATTACAAATAGATGTAGGTACCCACGGTTTACATTTCTCATAAGTATGTTATAACCATCTAAAAATTTTTTTTTAATCCATTCATTAATGGTTCTGCGGTAAAATCCAATATGGTTGTGATTTTCATCTTATAAAACGCTATAGAGCTTAAATAAAAAATAATATGTAAATTGTCTCTTTTAGAATGAATAAATCTCGTAAACAATCGTTTTATTTTTGTAAATACTGCAATAGTTTTCCCATTAAAACTATAACTTTGCTAACAAACCAAATAAATTCATAAAAATTAACTGGATTTTGAATGTCCTGTTTCTCAATTGAATACCATCTGGTTGAAAGATAAATGTATGGTTAAATATTTCAAGTTTAAAGTTTCATTTTTAGATATTTAATCATATTTTCGCATATTTATTTTACTTGTGCGTTAGCATCGCTAACTTGATGTAACTCAACATCAGTTTATCGAGGACAGAACAAACCGACGTACTTATTAATTTCATATATATATCTCGAAGAAGAAAAAAGATATTTAAATAATTGAAAAAGAGTTTTAAAGGGAAAGGGTAATAATTTCAAAATTTCTACAAAAATTTAATTTTTTTAATTCCGTCATGGTGAACTATAACCACAAATACGACCAGAAACCGTATTTTTAACATATTTTGGCTAAGATATTTTGAAAACCTTACGTGATGAAGCATTTTTGAGGTTAAATTTGGATTTAGAACGTGAAAAACCTTCGGGATAGTATAGTCTACTTGTTGGTTTAGAAAACATTTAAATTTTTGTCGGCCTGTGTAATGGACTACAACATCAACTTCGATTTACTTCTGTCTTGCATCCTTAGTTGGTTTACAGAAAGAACCATACTCGCCCAACTTATCAACCTCTTAAAAGTAAGTAGAGAAGGCTTGCGACGATCAAAATATTGTTCAAAATACTGATCTGCAGCTTGTATTGCATTTTTATAGCATAAAATGTAACAGTCAATGATA